AACCTAAGAGAAGCGAAGGTTTTTGCATGAGGAGGAGCCCATGTTGGTGTCCAAGTTCTATTGTTCCTTTCGTGGTGTGTAGGAACACAAAATATAGATACGTGAATAACAATAAGGGAGACATGCCTCCTAATAAAAGTATATATTTTATAAACAGTTTAAAAAATACCACCTCACTATTCTTATATTAATTCTCAGAAATTCCTTTATTATTAAGAGACCACCAATTCTACTAGAGGTCTTCATTCACATCTGTGTCATATGCATAAAATAAATTGGAAGATGGTCTTATTGTTTGCAGAAACCCAACCTAACATTCTTCATGTAATTTAGATTTCATAAAACCAAGCTTTTTTTTCTTTTCCTTACAAAGTTTTAGAGTGGAGAAACCTTGGGTGCTAATATACCAGTTAGCCTGTGTGTCCAAAGTTACCCAGAATTATGTATTTACTCCCTTTAATACTTGTTTTTTGGGCTGTGTGCATTTCTAATAGTGTAGCCATGTTTAACTCTCCCCCTCCTCCTCACCCAAAAATCAACATCATGAAGAAGTTTGGTGAGAATGAAACAACAAAAAACTTACTTTGTTATCTGATTTTGTTATCTGTTTTCATGTACACTCTTATCTTTTGAGGGACAGAGAATTGTTTTTTATCCCTGGTGCCAAGTACAATGCCTAACACATAGTAGATACTTGATAAATATCTGTTGAACGAATATCAAATACAAACTTCTTTTTTTACAAAGACTATATATAACAAGGCATATCATAAACTTAACACTGCATTATTTCATTTAATTTACATTTCATTGCTTTCTCAATACCATAAGGCCGTTCTGTAGACTACCAAACTTGAAGCTAGTCCCTTGCCAAAAGGTTACTAAGAAAAAGTAAGGAGAAGTGAGAAATGGTGCTTATAGTTCAGTGCTGCCCGGTCTTGTTTCCTAAAATATATAAGCTAGCGTTCTCTAAAGAGATTAAGGCAAATTTTAAAGATAGAGATCAGAAAAAATTGACCTTAGCCACATTGAAAGTATGAAGGGAATGTTTTCCTTAAAAATCATAATGAAAAACCATGCCCACAATGTCTCTTAAAAGAAGAATCTTTATATATATATAATATTTATCTTACATATTATATGTATTATATAATCATTTTATTATTACCTTTCTTATTCTAATAGATATTTCCATTTTCTTCAAAGAAGAGGAATATTCTTGGTCAATCAGTGAGAACTTTGATGTGTTCATCAGGGAAGAGTTTGTCCCAAAATTATAGGACTACATCTGATCTTGTACTCAAATTAAATTCATCAATACTCTCTGTTTGGGGTTTTTTACTCTTTTCTGTTGAGCCTGCGAAATTGCTCCTGAAAGCTGAATGATAACTAGAATGGCAGTTAATTACTTATTTAAGGTCTCTTAAGAGAGTTTTACAATGTACTCTGAAACATGGGTCAATTCAAAGTATGCAAGGACATTATTTTCAAATCATTCAACTATCTGATTTTGGTGAGTCATTTGTGCTTGGTGTGGTGCTGCCCAGAAGTTGATGCAGTTTGAGAATGCTAAGCAGAGGTAAAGGAAGTGTCCTGTGGTAGGTAGCCTATGATGCTTGGGTGAAGTTTCAGTCAGTGAACTTTAAAAAAAAAAAGAAAGAAAGAAAAGGAAAGGCATTAGCCCCAAACTAAGAGAACCCTAAAGTGTTATTTGTAAATTACTTGCCAATTTCTAGCACTGATGTACATTCCCAGAAACACAAGGTGCACGTCAAGCATTCAGTATAAATAATAGAGTACAGAGTATAATGGGCACGTTTTGATAAATTACAGCTTTTCACATGAGTCAGGATAAGCATTTTGGACATTGGTTAATGTTTCCAAAAGTATAATGCTAGAAGTCAATGTCCCTGAACCATGACTCTCCCGTTTGCCATTCTGTTAATTGTCTTTCACCCTTTTCAGTCAGCTTGACTGAACTAATCATTAGAGGTTCATTCTCCCTGATGCTCACTAGAAACAATTTGATAATTTGACATTTCTGGAAGCAGTGCATGATTTTCATTCCATAAAGCTACACATAATTGAGGTAAAAGGGAAGGAAGAAGAGTCAATAACGTTAGTAACATTAGCCCAAGGGCTTTCCCTGAGAGCTGGTCTGGCTGGTTTGCCCTGCTTTCTGGCACCAATGCTCAGGGTCTCAGGCTGGGCACTTCCCTAGTGAAGACCATAGTTGAAGCAACCAGAGAGCCCTGGAGGCCTCAAATGTCTGCATTGTAGACTCTAGCAGACCTTGCTCCAAAATTAAACCTTTAATGCCCAATCAACCTGTTTCTCCATATAAATCTTGAAAAATGGCCCCTACCTCAAATGTACGTTTGCATTTGAGAGGTAAATCATGATTCGTCAGTCACATACTTTAAATCGAAGATGTAACTCTGAAGGCCAATTCAAGCTAAACGTGAGCCTATAGATACTTTATTCTCCTGACAGTGGTGATATATCCCTCCTTCTCAATCTCTGAACATTTAGGAGTCATGTTACACTACAGAGTTTACAAAGCTAATTTCGGGAGACATTCTAGTATATTTACTTAATACATTAAACTTTTCATCAATATAGTTATGAAAGTGAGTATTTCTCTGAAATAACTTAAGAATCAGTCATGTTTCTAAGCCAACCAGACCACTACTTTGCACCTCAAAGCTGACTTTAAAAATACGAAATCATTTGTCATAATCAAACAAATATAAATCCTACGACCTGAAAAATTCAGAATTATGGACTTTCTAAGATTCCATTTTAAATTTATTTTCTTGTCATTCACATGTCTCATTCTTTTTCTGTATTTGGCACTTCAACAAATGCCAATGATGCCCCCAAATTCATTCATGTGATAGGTGACTCTCTAAAGTGAACCATTGTCTTCTGTCACTTGTGGATTTGTTTAAATCTCTTTCCCTATCTTTCTACAGTACCTGAATTCTACATTCCTAATTCCCGAAAAGCAGCTAGCAAATTCTAAGCCATGCTGCTCTCCAACTCAAATTGTATCTCAAATGATTTGATTAAAAACTACAAAAGAACTACTTTCAGCAAAAGCTTCTTATAGTTGGAACCCAAATATTTGTGAAGTGGGCACAAAGTCCTTATCCTGCACTCACAGCTGTAAAGTGAAATACACTCGGAAAAGGAATTAATCACAAACTAAATCCCACCCCTTGGCTTTTTTATCCGTCAAAGAGGTTTAAATGTGCTTTTCTACAATCGGTCTTAGTTATGCATCCCAGCTTTCAATGTCTCATAAGAGGAAATATTTGTTTAATGAAAATATTAAAAAACAGCAACATCCAATCAATATTAAAATCACTATAAGATAATCTGGAAAACAAAGGTTCATTTCCATTAATCATATCATTAGGTCCTAGATCCATACCGTTCAGGGAGATTGTCTTCATTGAAATTCCTACCAAGCATATTGTGACATGCAAATGAAGAGGTTGACTTTTTTGACACTCGAATAATGCTTTGGTAGTGCTCTGGCTATTTGTATCCATTTTAGTATTTACACGCTCTTAAAGTTTGGATGTCTCCACTTTGGATGGTATATATGTGAAGCAGTTTTTCTCTAATCCAGGAGATAAATCAAGCAAAGTTTACTTTAAGTGAGCTTTGATGCCTAAACCTTTAAACTCTTCAATCCATGTAGAATCCAAACCACACCCACTCTTAGTTTTGGTAGCAACACATGCTCTTTTTGGGGACAATAACATGAGGGTGCTTCCATTACTGAGCATGACCTTGTGAAGAAATCACAGTGCTGGAGATCATCTCCCTCCTGTAAGACGCCTACGGGGTCACTTCCAGCTCTTGGCCACAGGAGACGTGGTGTGTAATGCAGTCGTGTGGGTAAGGTGATGTCCTAGCCTCAGTTGCTTCATAGTTTCTATGACATGCCGTGAGCCGGTTTGGATAACTCCTCAGACTACAGAGAAAGAGCTCCCTGGCTTTTTAGACTTTGAACTTTAAAACTCTGATCTAGATAATTTCAGATACTTTAATTTCATTGTAGAAATCCCTAGACTACTTGTGGGATAAAACAAATGCTCAGACCATATTGAGTTTCATCAAGCTGAATTAGCAGAAAATAAAGATAAAATGCCTTTCTATTTAAGAACATGATGATGTTTTAATTGTTACAGCATTTGGCATGCCTAACGTATACAAACCTTGACATTCATATAATAACAAAGAAAGTTGTTTGGGATCTTTCTTTTATTTCCTAGTGTCCCCTTTCCTCTCTAGTATTTCTCCCACCCCCATGCCAGCCCTGGTTTTTAGCCTCCTCCGGTTTCTCCATCCTTCTATAAAGAAAAGCTCTATGCTGTGAAAGATACATGTAAAAATACCTCATTCCTATGTAGATAGGCCAAGGCTGCTTATTACCTAGTTATGATGAACAGACCACCATCGTTGTGACAACTGATGTAGATGCCTCCAGGGTAAAACAAAGGTTTACATATTACACAAGCAATTTAACTGTTTTCTAAACATATTGCCAAGACAGTGGGAGTTGGCAGGCCACACTGTGTTTTAGGTCTAGGAGACTTGGATTAGAAGTGACTGCTGATTATGAATCTTTTTATTTGTCTTCTATGAACTACAAGCAACCTAATAACCCGGCGAAGAATTCTGCATATCACTTAAACTTGTCTCCCTAGCTTCCCGAGATTGCACACACAAATCACTTGACAAAAGTGGGGTAAGGGTCTTGTGCCTAGATAACCACACAAGACAATTGTCTTGTTCTAACCCTTAAAAAGTTCCGCAAAGTGAAATGTTTTATAATCCTTTTTTGTGCAGTAGGCAAGGAAGAAAAGAAAAGAGTTTGGGCAAAGATTATCCAGAAGAAAGAAAGAGACTCTTTTGGGGTTCCAGTTGAAACACAATAAAGAACATAATTAACTTCACAATTCTTTGTGTTTTTCATTTGACTGCAGGGAGGAGATGAAAGAGGTCTGCTAAGCCTTGCATTCCATCCCAATTACAAGAAAAATGGAAAGCTGTACGTGTCTTATACCACCAACCAAGAACGATGGGCTATCGGGCCTCATGACCACATTCTTCGAGTTGTGGAATACACAGTATCGAGGTATCACTAAAATGCCCCGTGACATATTTTTCAGTTTTATTTTCTCATTTTCTCTTCCTAATTATTTTAGAAGTTAAGGTGACAGTAATTAAGCCACAATCTCCACCTTGCTGAAACCCGCATATGTGTCCTTAAGGAGAACTGAGAGAAATGGTAGCTTTGACACTTTTCTTCAGTTATCTTTCAGCTTACATGTTCCTTCTAAAACATAGAAAATAATGTCACTTATCGGAAATTTTTATTAGATCCATTTCAAGCATATGTTTCCTTATTTGCCTACTAAGTGCCTCCTTCCCTATTTGTGTACAGTTTACTTTCCGGTGGATTCACCTTACAGCTTTAACAATTACGGTGTTGCTTCCTCCCTACAATGTAGAAAAAATCCCCACCAAGTTGATTTGAGAACAGCCAGAGTATTTCTTGAAGTCGCAGAACTCCACAGAAAGCATCTCGGAGGGCAGCTGCTCTTTGGCCCTGACGGCTTTTTATACGTCATTCTCGGTGATGGGATGATCACACTGGATGATATGGAAGAAATGGATGGCTTAAGGTAAAAAAGAAAAAAAGTTCCCCTTGACGTTAAAATGTTTTTAAGTGCCAGTCCAGGGGAAAAGGCGTGAGGGCCAGTGAGTTAAGAACTGTCTTTGGGAAGAAAAAAAAAAGACTTGTCTTTGAATTATGTCGCCTTGGTTAACTATTTAACTTCTGTTATGGATGTCTGCATTTATTAAATGATGAGGAAGTCTGTCTTTCGCTGGTGGTATATTTGGAAGTCGCTGTTCCCAGATGTTGGAAAGTGCATTAGTGCCACGTGGGTTGCGGGATACACAGCCCGGGAAACGTGCAGCTCCCTCCGCATGCTCTGCGCTGCAGCTCGTGCCACCTGCTGGCTGGACTCCCGGGCTCCAGGGGCGCTTGGGCGGGCGCGGGAAAGGCATGGACCGGCAAAACAGAAAGAACAGCTGCAAAATGCAGCACGCGGTGGATGCTGCAGTCCTCGGCCACCATCGAGTTGCGTGGCGTGCTGACGCTTGTCTGAAACCAACCTGCCCCTGGTTTCGTTGCCCATGATTCGGAATTTTGTAACTTTAATATTTTCGTCTCGAAGGAGGGAATGATTCTTTGGACTGTAGAGCAACCTCCCCACATTTGGTTTAGGTGAAATACGTAACAAAGGCAGAAAGCACTGAACCTTGTCCTCCAATTTCTCAGTGATTTCACAGGGTCGGTGCTCCGGCTGGACGTGGACACGGATATGTGCAACGTGCCTTATTCCATACCAAGGAGCAACCCGCACTTCAACAGCACCAACCAGCCCCCAGAAGTATTTGCACACGGCCTGCACGATCCAGGCAGGTGAGAACAGAGTCTGTACCGCCCCCCTCCCTCCGCCCCCACCTGCCCCCACCTGCCCCCACCCGCCCCCACCCGCCCCCACCCGCCCCCACCCGCCTGCTCTAAAGCCGGGCTGGGATTCGGGAACTGGGAAAAGAAAGAGAGGTCCACACACAGAGCATCCACGGGTGATGTCCAAGGTTTAGCCTCCAGAAATCACACCAGCCCATTATCTGAGCACTCTTTTCTTCTATTACTGCATGAAGCAGATAGAGAAGGCAGATTGGACATACCGAAAAGAACAAATTCATGGAGAAAAATTCCTTTAAGGTTCTGGAGTGTTATTAGATAAACGCTGTTGGACCAGTGTAATGATTAAGACTTCAGTTCAAATTTAGAGAGATAATAAACTTTCTAAATTGTCTCCTTAAACCCCTCTAAATGAAATTTTCCGTACACATTAATTTTTTAAAATTTATTTCTATTTATTTTAAGGTTCATTTATTTGAGAGAGGAGAGGAGGGGCAGAGGCTGAGGGAGAGTCTTAAGCAGATTCTGTGCTGAACTCCGAGCCCCACACAGTTTGCCATCTCCCAATCCTGAGATCGATACACTGGGATCATGATCCTGAGATCATGACTTGAGCTGAAACCAAGAGGTGTTCCATTTCCATACACATTAAATGGGGGTGGTAATAGCAACCTTGCAAGAAGGCTATAATGATTTATTACAAATCTACAAGTAAAGCACAAAGTAGAGTGCCTGACACACATGGTAGGTTTTAAATAAATTACAGGTCTTATCATAGCTTTACTTAACATACAATGGTACAGTATCAGTTCATAAGGACTTGAGCTCAACGTTAACATTTTTTCCCTTGGAAAAAAAGTATAAATATAAAGGAATTCATATTGATTGTTTACTATAATGAACTATAAAGAAAGGAGTACTAAGATGTATGTAGAGTGAGAAATTTGGGGTATACTTTTAAAATGCTATGAAGTATATTATAGCAATTCTATGATGAAAGCTTCATCCAATCTGTGGTCCCTTATTCATACTATGGGATATTTGGCCACATTCATTCATTTACTAGCTAAGTTATTATTGCTATTTAATGTTTATTGAGTGTTCACTATGTGCAAGGTGAGTATTTCTTGAACTTTTTATTTTTATAATCCCTCATGCCCTTCATCTCCCCTCCATCAAAGTCCAAGTCTACAGTTCATTTCCTTTTTGGCATCTCAGCAGATCTTAAAATCTGTGCGACAGGGAATACTTAAGGTGGGTTCAGGATGTGGAGGAAACTGTCACATTCCATTCCTATAGCTCAGAACTCTCAGATACCACCGCAAAGCAGCACTTTGAAGTCCTGCACCCTGAGTCACGGCAGTCTCACTGGAGCTTTCGTGCAACCTTCCTGGGGGTCCTGGGCCCTCCGTGCAAAAACGCAGGGTGAGGCGCTTTACAGATCTTGCATATGGCAGGACGCCTAAGCCGTGGAGTCTTACCTCCTCGGGCAGCAGGGGGCTAAAGGGAACTTGTGCCTCCCTCCAAGAGCACTTCAAGCAGAGAAAGATTTAATAAAGCAGAAAGGAAATTCAGATAATTAGTGGCTAAAAGTAAAGCTGACTTGTGTTAAGCACCTTGGGTGCAGAGTACTGAACTAAGTATCTCAACCACTTTAGTTCATTTATGCCTCTCAGCAGTACTCGGTGGTAGCTGGCCTGGAGCATAGTTATTTCCCATATACCCCCCGACCACCACACCTGGCATAGCCTCCCCAGTAGCAACATCCACCACCAGAGTGGGACATTGTTACAATGCATGAACCTACCTTGACACATCCTTATCGCCCAAAGTCCAGAGTTTCCATTAGGGTTCACTGGGGGTTGTACATTTTATGGATTTGGACAGGTGTATAATGACGTGTATCCACCATAGGGTATCCTACAGAGTCTCACTGTCCAACTTCTTTTTTTCCATAAGAAACTAAAGGTTAGAAGGGTCAAGCGGTTCTCAGTGGCCATAGTATTCAGCCAGAGCTAGGCCTGATGGCATCTCCACCTTTGGGAAGCCTGGGCTTTCCTTCCAGATCTGCTTCTTTCTTGATAAGAAGAGGTCAAACCTTTTGTCGTCGTTTCTTCATCTTTAAAAGGAAGACAATACAGGAAAGCTCTCTCTGCCTGTATGGATTTAGTTCCACCTTAAGTCACATCACGTCTATGTCCTGTTCCCTGCCAGGCATTGTACTCTGAAACACTGAATTAAAGAGGACAATAAAGGGACTGTTGCCACAGAACAGCTAACTCTTCTTTGGCAGCTCAGGCTCGTAGTTTCCCTATGATGAATAGGATCATTTGGATGCACCAGTTTTTGTTCCACAATTGTTGATACTGCTGACATGATCGCTGCATATGACTCTTAACATTTCTCAAGACCCAGAACTTACTCTCAGGTTGTTTTGTTTTCTAGTTTATTTAATGGTTTGGTTCGGTTGTCAAGTCATTACTGCATTTTGTTGACCTAAAACAGTGTTTCCTTATGGGATGATTTTGCCTCCTGTGAACATTTGGCAACATCTAGGAACATTTTTGGAAGGGTTCATGCTACTGACATCTAGTGGCTGGAGGCCAGAGATCCTCCTAAACATCCTATGTGCTCAGTACAGAGCCTCCTTCTCCTCCCCTCTGCTAGTCTCCTATTCAAAGAATTCTCTGGCTCAAAATGTCAATAACGTCAAAGTTGAGAAACCTAAAAACAAGGCAACACTGTTTTCCACATTTGTGAGAACTTCAAAAATTATATTATACAGCTTCATTCTTTTCCCAACCCAAACTCCACATGCCCAGTCCCTCATGGACTTAAACATTCAACAAATATTGAGCCCCTTTTATAACCCTGGGTTTGAATAGGGTAACAGAAATACAGGGATAAAGAAGCTGGAAGTGGTCCCTATGCTCATAGAATTTACTGTCAATGGCTTAGGTCATGGAAATATTCTAGTTCCAGACTGGGGGTGACATGAAGACACAGTTAATGTAAAAGACTTCAGTGGTTGTGGTGACCGGCTTTCTTTTATTTTATTTATATTATTATAGCATACACTTTCTTTCCTTTGTTAGAGCAGCTTGAGCTGTAGACTATAACAATTCCATGTACAAAACACAAAACTAATACCAAAACTAATTCTATTTTGTGTGTTGCTGATGTGAGTTGATGATACCACTGGCTTGCATACCTTACCAGTGCATTATATATGTGACAGTCCTTAATAACGCACTAACAAATGTTTTAAGTCTCTGTGCACATTCATACTAGAGAGAGATACCAAGAAAAATTAGGAAATATTCTCCAGAGGCTGTTTAGCTTGAGCAGAGTAAACAAACAAATCTGAATGTTTCTGTTGAGGATCCCAAGGAAATAGCCAGTGGGTTCTTGCCAGCCCACAGAAGGGCTCCTATGTCAGGAATCTCTAGTCAGAGTTTAGAAAAGATCCTGGTAAGAAATCATGGATGTCCCCCTTTCGTTATGCAGATGTGCTGTGGATCGCCATCCCACTGATATAAACATCAATTTAACAATACTTTGTTCAGACTCCAATGGAAAGAACAGATCATCTGCCAGAATCCTACAGATAATAAAGGGGAAAGATTATGGTAAGTAGCGCATAATTTGTTGATTTGGCTTTAGTTTGGGCCTTGTTTTATTTTAATACATTAATTGAGGAGAAATGGATCTCTACAAAAGGAGCATTTGGGAAAGCATAAAAACACTGACCTAACAGTAGTAAGGGAGTAAATTGCACAAGTTTTTAAAGGTCCAGTGACGCTTACAAGCCCTAGGAATTCCATTTGAGTAATTACCTTTCCCATGGACTGAAGTGTGCTCTGTAGGTCCAAAAATTTAATGGACCTTCAAAAATTAGCTGTTTATATTTTGCTCATCTGAGAGTCAAAAATGAATAACTTCTATTTATTTAATATATAAAGGAGAACTTGTCTTAACATCTTACATACAGCAGAAAAAAACAAGTTTAAGGTAAGAAATTTCTCAATACCCTATATGCTAGTCTCAGCAATTAGAAAAATAGTAAGTGTTTCAAATAATTCAAATAAGAATGCAATTTTTTAAGTGCCTATTTTAGAGAAAACAACATAATAGACTTGTAAAAACACGTTATTTACGCAAGTCATGAAAATGGGGTGTTTAGACATTATTTTTAATAACATGATTACTGGAGTGTTTTAGAGATGCATATAAAAATTAAGTTGGATAATAATGAAGGCCAGAAAACTTAATACTTTTTAGTGTTTTAGTATTTACTCCTTTTGGAGGAAGCAATATATCAAAATTATTATGATTCAGGGAACACAGTAGATTAAGATTATTAAATTGATCACTCCTTCTATTTACTCATTCAATACAGATATTTATTTAGCACCAGGAATGAAACAGCTGTGTTAGTTCATGTGGTGTTCAGTTATTTCACTTTATTTTTTTTTTTCAGGTATTCATTCGTGTGTGTGTGTGTGTGTGTGTGTGTAACTTATAAAAGCCAAACCAAAGAATGACATGGTTTGAAAAAAAATCTTATATGAGTCACTGGTTTGATGGAATTTGGCTATATTTATGCAGATTAAATTAAATTCTCCAATCACATTAATTGGGGTCAGCTGCAACTGGCTACAATATTGATAGCCTTACATTTCTGTTTTCAAAACACATCCCCAGAGTCCTCTCACTGCATATGTATAGAGCAAATCCCCACGGTGTAAACTTTAAATGCTTTACAACTTTGTCATTTTTACTGCAATAAAGCAGAAAACAAAAATAAAACCCAGATAACCACATCCACTGTACTTACTACGTGCCGGCCCCTGTAGTAACTGTACCAACCTGACTCCTTGCATTCCCCGAACAACTGTGTGGTAGGCACCGTTATTGGCCACATTGTACAGATGAGGCAACTGAGACGCAGAGAGGTTAATGATCATACAACATACAGTGGCAAGGTCTGGATTGAAGCCGGCCCCACTGATTCCAGAGTTCATGACCTTAATCATTCAGTTATGCTGCCTCTCACTGAACTGGTTAAAACTTAATCTTTTCTACTTTTTCTAATACAGTCACCATAACTACATGGGAAGGAAGAATTACTTTAAAATTACCAACTTCCCACAAAGGCTTTTGCTTAAAATACTGCCTGTTGATAATGACTTATTTGACATTAAGCACATAATAAGTAATTTTCAGATTAATTTGCAACTGGCTTTAGATCTTTTCCATTGCAATTAGCGTATGTGTAGTCAAGTATATAATGACATGCATGGAAAGTCTGAGATATGTAACTATACACTTGTAATTAGGAAGAATGGCTGCATTAGACATTGTTAGCCATAGAACTCCATAAACAAAACTATTAAACTAGTTTAAATGAAGATATCACTTGAGTGACAATGTTTTTAAATATACAAATGTGGTTTTAAAGGCCTTTTATGTACTATACTTTCCTTTTCATTAAAATATGATTTTTCAAACATTTTATATAACTTGACAGTGGTCTGGCTTAATTTACTCAATATATGCAGAAGCATTTCTACAAAAAAAAAATCCATTTTAAAACAATTATTTTGTTTAAATCTTTTGATTCTTAAGTAAATAACCATGGTTTCCTAAATATCCAGATTCTAATTTCATTGAAAATTTGGTATGTGTGGCAATTATAACAGCAAGCATTTGCGGAGCATTTCCATTTCAGTAAGCTTTGCATGGAAGCTTTTGGTATTTTATACTATTTAAGCAACAGGACTTAATTATTTTTACTAAATATCTAGAACAAGGATTCATCTTGTGTATCATGGAGCACATTTTAGATTTAACGTAAATTACCGTAATAATATTATGATGATATTACTTGGCCTCTGTTACTTTTATTTCATAAAAATGTTTCATTTGATCTAATGTTATGTTTCTTTCTTTCCAGAAAGTGAGCCATCACTTTTGGAATTCAAGCCATTCAGTAATGGTCCTTTGGTTGGTGGATTTGTTTACCGGGGCTGCCAGTCGGAAAGACTGTACGGAAGCTATGTGTTTGGAGACCGTAATGGGTAGGTTCCCTGATACCACAATTTGATGTATCAGATGACATATCCATTGATTAGGGGGCAAACTGCCATAAAATATTCAAATGATTGTCTCTCTTTGGGGATCAGGTCTGGGACACACATGAACATTATTATTTTCTTTTTTGTTTCATTATGTATGATGGTTTAATTAAAGAACTTCCGAAGACATGCTTTTTAAACAAATTTGATTAAGTTCATGAAATAACCTTTGAGAACCGAGAAGTCTTCAGATGGACTTTTCATATTATGTAAGCTTTTCCCTTCATCCTTAACATAAATTTACCATGACAATGAGTAATTTGAAAACTATTGTTATACATGACTTGTGTAAATATTTTCCAAATTATTTGGAAATTGGAAAGCTAAGGAATTTTGTTTTTGCCAGACTTTTAGAACTTTTAACAACAGAACTTAATTTGTCTCTATCAGTAAGAATACTACACAATTAAATTTTAGCCTCCTTTTTATAGGTCACTGTGTGGATAATTCTCAGGAACTCTTAGTGATGAAACCCAGATTATGAATCTTGTTTCCCAAGTCACTGGCATTCAGGCATATGGCAGAGCTTCTATGCTTGGTCACTAAAAGGAACTAGAAAAGTTTACTGACCCCATGATCTTCCCCCTGTCCCTCTCTCTGATTAATAGCACAGCATGGAGTCTAGTCCTGGAGAGGAAGTATCATTCTCTGGATGAAGGGGAGGGCTTTTCTCATACTCAGGTACTTTTAGTGCCCCCCTCCAAACAAAATACTATCTTTAAGTACTTTCTCCCCACATGAGAATTTCACAGTATTCACACACATTATGGGCTATAATATTTTTCCTTTTAGAAGACAGGTGTATCTTACAACACTTATACATTGTGAACTTTATTCCAAGCATTTGATTGATTAACTTATTTAGTTTTAAGCAAAAGCATATTTTCATTGTAAGTTTACGGTATCTTTTTGTTGTAGGAATTTCTTAACCCTCCAGCAAAGTCCCGTGAGCAAGCAATGGCAAGAAAAACCACTCTGTCTGGGCAACAGTGGTTCCTGTAGAGGTTACTTTTCAGGTCACATATTGGGATTTGGAGAAGATGAATTAGGTACTGTACAAACTATTTCTGTGAAGTTCCATTCTCACTCCCTTGCCCAAGAGGCTTTGTTTTGCTCTGAAGAATAAGTGTAACAATCTCGCCCTCCATTTGCTGGCGATATAACCTGCAGCAAGGGTGACCTACCGTGGAGATTAGAGACGGCCCAGCTACGTATTCTCTCCCAGTGACCTTTCTCTGGGGGGGTCTTTACATCTATTTCCACTCCAAAAATATAAAAGTAACAGAGCAGGAAAATGGAAGGCATGAAAAAAGAGAATTTTGGAGTCCTTAAAGAGAAAAAGTCTTAAATGTCTACTGATATTTCAGATAAATCTGAGTCATTTGTTTCTATTCTCTATCTGAAAACTTCCCACTTATCCATGCCTCTTGGAATAAATAAAAAATCTGTTGTAATCTCAGCCTCACCTTATCCTCTATTTCTGAATTTTTAATTTAATTTTTGTTTTTTGGGGGGGTCCGTTGAGGCATGCAGTTTGTACACAATAAGCTGAATTTGTAGCTCTGCTTTCCAACAGAATAAAAATTATCTTCTGGACTATAACATATTTGTTAGTATGTTATCAAAATGTGCACAGCTTATAAGCAAAAAGAAGTTGAAATTGGAATACCATCGAAGAGTGAAAAAACTCCTAATTTTAAATTATAGAGATAAATGTAGCTTTCATAATGACCCTATTTAAAGAACAACATCCAAATAAACCATGGCCACTATGCTCCTTTAGCCTCCAAGATGAATTTTAGGTCTTAAGAAAGAAGAGTGTGTTTCCCATCTAAATCAGAATATTTTCTTTTCTTCTTTTTTTTATTTATTTGTCAGAAAGAGAGAGAGAGAGAGAGAGAGAGAGAGAGTGCACAGGCAGAGGGAACCACAGGCAGAGCGAGACAAAGAAGAAGACACCCCACTGAGGAAGGAACCTGATGCGGGGCTCAATCCCAGGACGCCGGATCATGACCTAAGCCGAAGATAGGCGCTTAACTGACTGAGCCCCCCAGGTGCCCCTAAATCAGAATATTTTCCCTAGAAGTCCAGCTTTGGTTTCAATACATCAAATGCAGAATTTACCAGGAATAGTTCCATGCCATTCACTTAAGTTAACAAGGGGACTTAACACATATTTCAGAGCTACAGGAATGTAAAGATTTAAAGAGCCCTCAAATCCCTTCTTTTCTTATTCCAGAATTGAAAACATTTACAGTTAATTTTCCCTGGATATCTCCTAGCTCACTCAAAAGAACCAAAGAAATAACACTTTCTCACTGAAATCCTCTGCTATATAATCTAAGTTTCACTGGCAAACTCTGGTTTTAAAATATAAACGAGGATTAAATGGTTTGTGGCAGAATTAGAGATGAATACTTAGATGCTGTGACTGAATCATTCTGATTTCCCCAGATCTGACTGCACATGACTCACCATTAATCACCTGTTAGTGTCACCACTGTTGGTTAAAATACCCAGACATCTATCTGCCCTTAATACCATGTTGGGAGCAGAACTAACAAAGGAAGCATATACCATCCTTAGGGTCTGGAAGCTATAGCATCGTATATACTATATAATTATAATTAAACATGCTTTCACTGAATCATGCTTTAATGTGAAACTCTTTGGCTTTAATTAAGAGCCACATTGCGGGGGGTGCCTGGCTAGCTAGGTCAGTAGAGCAACCCAACTTCTGATCTTGGGGTTGTGAGTTTGAACCTTATGTGGGGTATAGGGATTCCTTTTTTAAAAAAGCAGGTGTTTGGCTGGCTCAACGGGAGGAGTGTGCTACTCTTGATCTTGGGGCTGTGGGTTCAAGCTCGTGCTGGGTGTAGAGATTACCTAAATAGATAAGACTTCAAAAAATTTTAAGAAGATTAAAAAAACTAAAGAGCCATATAAGAAAATGAGTAGGTTTTTGCACTTTTTGAAACAAAAAGTATTGAGAGTCTGTTTTCTTTGTGTGTGTGTATTTAGCTATAAATCCAGGAGGTTCGTTGTAAGGATTAAATGAAATAAAATACATAAAGTACTTGACAAAATAAATATTAATTTTTTTTGCTTACATTCCTATGCCTCTTAACTTCATTTTTTTTCCTATTGTGTCTGTATTTTTAGTATAAGCCCCAAAACATCCTTTCCAGAAGTCAGAAAATAGTAGAGTGTGCTAAAAAAAAAAAAAAAAAAAAAAAAAAATGGCCATTGTATCGTAGAATACAAAAATAGAGACTAAATCAAGGACTATTTTATGAATGAGAACCAAATATGAATTTTAAAGCCAGAGACAACTTGGAACCAATGCTGAGACAGGTAGAGTCTAGAACAGAAGCTGAGGAAGTCGGGAGCCTGGGGCAGGAAAAGCCTGAAACAGCAGCGACCTTAGGTAGGGGACAGGGACAGGTCCCTCCTGTGTGCAAAGCCAAGAGGCCAGCGAGACTAGGGAGGAGGGAACAAGAGGGTGACACACTGCAGTTAGAAGTCAGACAGAGCAATACGGGGGGACATCACAGGTCAATGTCAGGACTTACTTTTGCTCTAGGAGAGATTAGAAGCCAATGGAGGTATTGAAATAAAGGAGTATGATCCAACTTAAATGATCTAACTTGCTTTAAAAAAATTTCTGGGGTTGGTATGTTGAAATTAAATATTGAAGAGCGAGGGTAGAAGTGGGGGGATCACTTAGGGGGCTGCTGTACTAATCCAGGAGAAACGGATATCCTCTTGCTCTGGGATAGTAGTAGGATGTGGGGAGATGTGATTGGATTCTGAATGCACTATGAAGGTAGACTTGCAAAACTCTCACCATCTTTAGGCGAGTGATCTTCCTGAGGATACATGGAGATAATACAGATAGATACAGATACACACAAATACACATACACCCACACATGCATATACACATAGAACTACAAATAGATATAAAAAATAAATATAAGGGGTGCCTGGGTGGCTCAGTGGTTTAAGCTGCTGCCTTCGGCTCAGGTCATGATCTCAGGGTCCTGGGATCGAGCCCCATTTCAGGCTCTTTGCTCAGCAGGGAGCCTGCTTCCCACCCCCTCCCCCCGCCTGCCTCTCTGCTTGCTTGTGATCTCTCTTTCTTTCAAATAAATAAATAAAATCTTTTTAAAAATAAATAAATAAATAAATATAAAATATCCACTTACCGATTTCTATCAAATATCTGCTTAGGCAATAGGCAGTAAGGCCTTGTGATACTATAAATTAACTTACTGTATTTCTATCTTCACAGGTGAAGTTTATATCCTATCAAGTAGTAAAAGTATGACCCAGACTCACAATGGAAAACTCTACAAAATCGTAGATCCCAAAAGGTGAGATCTCTTCATATACCTTTAAGGCAAATAATGTTTCTCCAAGTTGTTTTACTGTGTTCAAATTGGTGATGATGAGTGGCAGTTACCAGTCCACAAAGATGAACACTTTGGCCTAGCATATAGGGCAAGTGTTGTCCTGGGAGGACCCTCAGCTCCAGTCTGTGAGGGCTGTTCTTGACTCTGCTGGACTTTAGAGCCTTACTGTGTCCACACAGTCATGTCATTCTTGTTGCCATCAGAGAGCAGCCTTCTGTTTGTGGAATCAGCTTCCTCCGTTATGCGCAGAGGAGGACCCGAGGTAGGGCTGTGGCTTTAGCTTTCATGTTGGAAGCAATAAACTCTCCGGTTATTTCTAGAAAACTTGAACCATACTGGCAGACATTACAGCTGTTCAGTATGATTTTTTCATCAGGTAATCAAGATAAGCCAAATGGCAGTTCAACATCCGAGCCTCATTTCCAAACTATCTGGCAGCTCGCAGCTCTCATGCAGGCTTCTGTGATGAAACAAATGGAAACTGAAGAAATGTTGTCATTTATCCCAGCAAGAGGAAGACTCAAACGTTGAATCTTTTAAAAAATATACTTATCCCCCCTACTCCTTTCTAGCCACCCATCACAGCAGCATTATCTTGAATCATAATAAGTCAGTTGTTCCTTTCATGGGTAACGTCGGAACTATCAACAGCTGCTAAAATTATATACTATCAAAAAGATATTAGTCATCAGCTTAGAAATAACTGTTCATAGAACCTAGGGTGTCCTCAGCTAGCACGACTGTTGAACACACGGTTTTCAGACTCTAGCTATACCATGCTGTGAATTTCAGATTCTCTCTGTAATAATTTATCTTCATGAGCCCATTTGCATATTTAAATCCCCACATTTCAAGTCTCTTTAAGAAGAAGGAATTCTAATAACCTAAAAAGTTTGCTAAAAGCATGAATTTAGTTACAATTTAAACATTCTACTTGTAAGTTATGATGTAGGTTTTTTCCCAAAAATCACAGACTAACTAGAGATCTTCCTCCTTTTCCCATACCACAAAACACTGTCTTTCTTGAGAAAAGTTTAAGCTGACAATTGTACTACAGAACATGAAGAGGAGTAATCAATTCTAAATGGTCTGTCGGCATATCACATGTATTCATCTGTCACACCCCGTCACATTCCTGCTCTATGTAACAAAACACATTTTCTTCCACAGTAAGAGAAGCACCCATCCATGCATTGTAGGAGATCTTTTCCTCCTCGGGTGTGAAACAAATGCCCTCTTTGTGAAAAGCAAAGTAATGAATGGAAAAAATATCAGACATTTCGATGATGGTTGAAGTTGACGATGTTAAGAACAAAAATCAAACAAAGTAGCAGCATTCTCCTGATTCATAATGATGTCTAGGGATTTCACTCAGGTCTCATTCCCTTTGATTCCAAATAGTCATTATTCCACTATGTTTGTCAAAGTTGATAAGCTTTTACAAGCTTTTATAAGCTTCCTGGTAGTATTATAATGAATTCTCCCTCCTCCTCACAAAATCTTTCTCTCTTCATCTGGATTGTTTAGTCTGCTGGTGGTGAGTTGAGGTCAATTTTACACCTTCCATCCATTATTAGTGTCTAATTACCAGGGTTTCCATAAGGGACCTTGGCTTTGTGATCTTGGGGCCTACTCTAGTAGGGTGGTCTCAGAGTGACATACCTGAAAGGCCTGACTTCTCATTACGGTGCCTGTTTCTGGTGAGTCCTGTCACGTGTGGGGCCAGGGTTAAGATGTGTGTTTGGTTTTCAGAAGGTGGGGGGAGTAACAGAGTCCCAAACACACCGTCCTTGTACACAGACATAGACATAAATTTCAAAATGAAGCTGACTGTAAGAAAACAAATGTTTTCATAAACATTTGTTGGGAGGCTCATGCTGTTTCAATTTGGATGCCAACGTTTATTATTATAGTATTTCTCCCTAGATGAGTTGAAGTTCTGTATAAGCAGATACTTTAGTGTATGTGAACGGGATTATTTTAGAAACACAAACTAATTACTAGTGTGACAGTGTTCAGAATGTCTGCTGCAGAGCCAAATTGTTTCTCCAAAACTTTCAAGGGAGAATTTGAAGCCAGGGCCTCATCAACTGGAAAACATTTCTTGTGATAGACATTTCTTGTTATATCAAAAATCTAACTCAAATTAAATTCTTAGGTTAATTGTATCTTGTGGAGGAGTCTCCAGACTCATTAGAATAATGTTTTCAGAGTCACTATTTTCACACAGCACTTCACTCAAGGTCCTGGAAGAGAATAACAACGAATTATAAAATTTTTATGTTTGGGGTGCCTGGGTAGCTTAGTTGGTCAAGTATCAGGCTCTTGGTCTCAGCTCGGGTCTTGATCTCAGGGTTGTAAGCTCATGCCCAGCATGAACTTTAAAAAAAAAAAAAAAAAGTTCTGTATTACATGTCATAGAAGTTACATTCTTATCATAGGTGTATGGGGTTTTTTTCTGTTTTTCCCTACACACACGCACACACACACTCACATATAAAGAAGACAAGGGATTTAAAAATCATCTTTGGGGATGCCTGAGTGGCTCAGTGGTTAAACCTTCTGCCTTTGGCTCAGGTCATGATCCCAGAGTCCTGGGATCGAGCCCCCATGGGGCTCTCTGCTCAGCAGGGAGCCTGTTTCCTCCTCTCTCTGCCTGCCTCTCTGCCTACTTGTGATCTCTGTCTGTCAGATAAATAAATAAAATCTTTAAAAATAAAAAAATAAAAACCATCTTCGATATTCTGAAGCCATTTTGGCAAAGGCGGGTGAGGTTACAGCATTACTGACTGCCTCAGTCTATAAGGACAGTCTGGTCTAAGGCTTATGTTATGTAATCATTTACATAAGTTCAAAATCATTTTACAGTGGGCATCCACCTCAGAAAAGGATGGCAAGATAATCTGTTGTAAAAACCAAATACCTTTATTCACAATTTTAAAAAATGAAAATTCAATAAGACTACAATTCTGCTTTCCTTAAGTAGAACTCAGGAGTCATTTAAAGAAAAAGTAGGGAAGGTGTGAATTTCCCTCCATGTTAGAACACTGAGCACACTTCAGGAGTATTGTCAAAAGCAAAACAGTTGCATCTTGTCAGAGAGTGGAGTTAGGTTCGAGTTAATCCCAGTCACCCAGCTTGCTGAATCAACTCACTGGGTCCCAAAAAGTCTTTAGCACGGGGTTCCGCCTGCCCTGGTTGGGAGAGCTCCCTTGGCCAGCAGTTCCAGAAAACAGATTGAATACACTGGACACAAGAGAGATGGACAATAATTGTAATTTCACTTAGTCAAGCCACCCAAGACGGATCAACTGTTAGGAACAAGTCCATCCTGGCAGGACAGGGAGGCAACTGGTCTTGTCTTGGAATCTTCCTTATTGGGGAAGCCTGCATCAAGTTCCTTCACACTTCTCTCCCCCTTTGCCCATCAATGGAGTTCATTAGTATTTCTGCTCTTCCTCATTTCTGCGGAATGCTCTTAAAGATGCTTAAATCATACATTTAAAACACAGTAAATGCTTTAATATGGTTGGTATTCATTCTCTGCATTTAGAATTATTTTCAGGTGATCGCTTAACTTTGAAGGTTGTCTTTCCAACCTTAGAGTAAAGGTGTCTATGGAGCTTTCAAGAGCTCTTGATGCTGAGTTTCCAGATGTCCAAATCATGCCCTAGATGCTTACTCTTAATTCAGTCTTTTCAGAATCAAACATCTGCACCTGAGGGGTGGAAATTAAACAATTCTAACAGTTTACCTACCTTCTAAGCTTTGTGTTTACCGAACGCAATTTTTTTCACACTGCTGCCCAAGATCTTTAATTTTTGCGTCAGATGAGACCAAATAACTTTTTTTTTAAATTATTTTGAAATGTTTTCAGGGTGATTTCTCCAGGAATTTGTAAAACAAAATTATTCTTAATCGTACTGATTCAATTAGTACGTACCCAGTCATTCTATATTTTAACATACTGCTTTTCTGTGATCCAACCAAGTCACGCAGACCCTTCCCCTGAGAGGTCTATAAATTAACAATTCAAATTCAGGCTTGGGAGGTCATTTCACAGAAATATTCCATCATCAAACTCCTGTGACCAATATCAAAGACTGCTCCCCACCACCCCCCATCCCCATGCCTCCTCCACACACCTCCCCTCAGTGGCCCTACTTACTGCCTTTTGTTTATTTTCTTCTTAATATCCTCATCCTACTCCTAATTATACTAGATGCTGAAGAGTGGTTTGTTTTTTGGGTTTTGTTGTTGTTGTTGTTGTTTTCTTTTCCCCCCAAAAAACTCACTTCCTAAGAGGACATCGGTTCTGTTTATCCTTCACATATGTCTCAGGGAGCCAGCAGGCAGCTCTGCCATCCTAAAGAAAGTCACACATAATAGAGAGGCTTTAGCCCAATAAGCCAGTCGAGTCCCAATTCATCAGTCAAAGTTTTATGCAAGTGGCCCCCCTAGGTTGAGAAATCCCCACAGTGCCTGTTGACCCAGCTGCCAAGTCCTCTTGCCGCAGGCCATGTTTTCATGGCCACCCGGACAGTAATACAAACTGTTTAGCAGCTCCATTGACCTTTCAGCTATTAACAGGGACACGGGCTCCACCAGGGACTAGTTTTCAAACATGACAGAATTTCTGAACACTAGAGGTCATGAGCAAGTATATGCCCTATAAAAATCCATGCAGCATGGTGGATTTGAAGTCTCAAAGACAGGGAAGCATGTTCTATGTTTCACTGTTATTATTTCTTGACATATCTGAGAATGGAAGACAGAGATATTTTCTTATCTGCCCCCTTATATTTTATTCTTAATGCACGGTACTTTACGCGCGGTACAGTTGTGGCTAAGCGGTCCTCCCTAAGCTGCCCCATAGCATTTGAAATTTTGACGATCTGTTACCAAAGAATGGGATAAGATCAAAGTAGGAGCTTCCAATGAATGAATGAGCATGCATACAT